TTCATAATTTTTATTACTCCGATTCCGAAAACTCTTGTTTTCAAACGTGGTGTTCAAGTTTCAAGACACGATAGGGCAAAGGAGGCGCGTGGTCGGCACCGCCACCAACGGAGTCGCCTTAGGAACGGTGAGACCAGGCCCTTCAACGGTGTCTACGTCACCGGAGTTCATACCTTCCGGTAATCTCCAAGCAAAGCAATGTAGAAGATGAGCCACCGCAAGCTCAAACGCATACAACCCTAGTTGCATACCCGGACACGATCTTCGACCCGACCCGAACGGAAGGAATTCGAAATTGTTCCCCTTCAAATCCGGAGCATTCGGGTCCAAAAACCTTTCCGGGTTAAAAATTTCTGGGTTGGACCATGAATCCGGGTCACGCCCAAGCGCGTGGGTGTTGACCATTACGCGCGATTTCTTGGGGATGAAGTAACCGGAGACCTCCGTGTCTTCCACCGTCTCGTGGAGGAGAAGAGGGAAGGGCGGGTGGAGCCGGAGGGTTTCTTTGAGTACACATTTTAGGAATGTGAGCTCCTCGAGGTGCGTGTCCTCCACGCGCCACTGGTTAAGCCCAACCACACTTGCTAGCTCGTCTTGGACCCGTATCATGTTTTCGGGGCTCCGGAGTAGCTCCGTTAAGACCCACTCGATTGCTAATGCCACCGTCTCGGTTCCTCCGAACATGACATCCTTGTGAAATATGTTCAAAATTTTCAATTTAATTCATTTATATAAATTCCAAAAACACCGAACTATATTCATTCGTTACCATGATGATGCCTTTAATGTTATCGAGATTAATTTTGGTCTCCGAGTCGTTGACTTTGGCTTCTTCTTTGTAAAACGTAAGTAATTGGTCAACCATATCGGTCTCTTCGTCGTCAATGTTACGTTCTCTCTTTTGCTTGTGTAAGTGATCGTTGATGATGGATTCAATGAAACCGTCGAGAGACTTTCGGGCTTTCTCGACCCGCCCATTTATCCCTTTCGGGTCGATCCAACTGAGCCACGACGGGGCGTAATCAGCTACGTTAAACTCACCAAAGAGCTTAGAGAACTCTTGTATGATCTCAAGGAATTCGTCTAGTCGGGCTTCATCAGACGTGGAAGACGAGGAACCGAACGCTGCTCGAAAAACTATGTCTCTTGTTAAAGAGAATGAGAGTTTACATATGTTTAGTGGTTTACCGACATTTACAGCTACAAAACGGACCGATTTGTGGACCTCTTCGTCCACGGAGATCCACGACTCGGCCCGTTTACGGCTAAAGAGCATCATGACGTAGAGTTTCCTCATCCGACGCCAAAATGGGCCGTAATTGCTGAATGCGAGGTCAGAACTCCCGTAGGTCAAGTAACGGATTGCGTTTGTGGTGGGACGGTTAGAGAAAACTTGGTCTTGGACTTGGAGGACTTGGCGTGCAATATCAGGCGAAGAAACGACAAAAATGTGGGAAAATCCGAGGCGGAGGTGGAGTAAGCCGCCGTATGTGCGGCTGAGCTTGGCCAGGTCACGGTGGTTGAAGTGGTTCATCATGAGAATATTGCCAATGATGGGTAAGCCTTTGGGACCGGGAGGGTAAGGTTTCTGTCGCCTTAACCGCCGTGAAAAGAGGTGCCGAAAAACAAAAAGAATAAAAGGGACAAGAAGGATTATTAGTGTCATTATTTCAGTATACATTTTGATACGATTTAGTGGTTAAAGGTG